CTCTGCCAATCCCGGCACTGGCTTCCATCCTCTGCCCCTCTCTGCCGATCCCTGCACTGGCTTCCATCCCCCGCCCCTCTCTGCCAATCCCTGCACTGGCTTCCACTCGCCCAAAGGATAAAATTCTAAATATTAACAACCACTAACAAAGCCATCCACAACTCTTCCTCTGGCTATATCTCAAACCTGCTCTCAAAGTATTACCCTAACCGTCCCCTCCGCTCTTCCAAAGGCCTCCTCCTTTCCAGCTCCCTCGTCAACATCTCCCATGCTCGCCTCCTGGACTACTCTAGAGTCTCTGGAACTCTTTACCCCAACCTGTCCATCTATCTCCCACTCTGACTGCCTTTAGGCGATCCCTTAAGACTCATCTCTTCAGGGAAGCCAATCCCACCTCAACCTAACCACTGAACCATCACATTCTCAGACAATTCATCCCCACACAGCATCCTCCTCATGTATCACTGGCCCCTCCCTTCTAGATTGCAAGCCCTCAAGGGCAAGGCCCTAATTACCATCTTGTATTGTGATTGTAATGTCTTCCTTATATTGTAAAGCGCTGCGCAGACTGTTGGCACTATATACATCCCGTATAATAATAATAATCAATAAGAAGCATAGTTCTTGTTTCATATTTATGAATCTTATTATGCTGCATGTTTTGTATCTTGTGACATATTTTGTGTTTCCTCTTCTATAAAACGCTGGAAATACTTTTCAGTAAACACAAGGAGCCTCTTCTAACCTCTCAGCCAATAGCAGACTCCCGTATCCTCGGCTACATTTCCTAGGCTCCGCCCACATTACATTCTGGAGTGACAGAATCTGATCGGTCGGCATCGATGCGATGCCAGATGTTTATTGGATGAAAGTGAATAATTTGAACGGAATTGATTCAGAAGCTATCGAACTAACAATACAGAACAAGATCGGAGTTTCCCACCCCGAATCCGATGACTTCCTTAAGTGAATAAAACCTGCGAAATCACTCAGCTTGGCCGCGAATATCAATGATAATAATGGAGAGATTGTGAGAATAGAACAATCAGATCGCCACATGCATGATAGGATACATCAGACACACAAGAAATGTCAGGGTCCCGGAATTGAGGGAACAAACTCCATGTACTTACCGGCTGGGAGCAGTCCCCCTCCTGGCTGATCAGTCGCAGCCCCCCAGTACCGATGACCAGCACAGACAGGCCGATCAGAGCCCAGGACAGGGGCGCAGCGCCCCCCATACTGGACTTCTGGCGCTCACACAAGTCAGCTCCGCGTACCCCCGCACACTTCCTGCTTCACTCACACTCGCTCTTATGCAAATTAACCCAAAACACCGACCAATCAGAGAGCCGCCCGGTCCAGGTGAGGGCGGACAATTCCGGGAACTCAGCGCAGGGAGAATCCCCAATATGCAAATGAAGGGCGGAGCCAGAGCTGAACACGGAGTTCAGTCAGTGTCACTTTTCCTGCTAGGAGACTGTGGAGGATGGAGGACTACAAGTCCCAGCATGAGCACATGGTATGGAGGTCAGTCACTGCTCTGAAAACAATGCAACATTATATATATAGATATATATATATATATATATTATAGTGTAATGTAATGATCTGCTCCTTGAACTTTTAATCTGTTTGCACTAAGGTGGAATAGTGTCCTGTGGTCGTGTTTAATACTGCCCTGTGATGTCATCATCTGCCCTGGAACACTTCATACTGCCCTGTGATGTCATCATCTGCCCTGGAACACTTCATACTGCCCTGTGATGTCATCATCTGCCCTGGAACACTTCATACTGCCCTGTGATGTCATCATCTGCCCTGGAACACTTCATACTGCCCTGTGATGTCATCATCTGCCCTGGAACACTTCATACTGCCCTGTGATGTCATCATCTGCCCTGGAACACTTCATACTGCCCTGTGATGTCAT